CTTGATGAACACCTCATCGTCGACATCATCGCTGATGTCCTCATCAATTGAGGAGTCCCGTATGGCGATGCGCTTGGAGGGCACATATGGTCGCAGTTTGATCATGTTGGGCCACGCTTCCAAGTTGCCAGCGCCCAGCGCCTTTGCCTGCTTGCCAAGCGTTGCCTATGAATATTATATTTGTTTTTCTATTATTGTTATTATTACGAATTTTCACAGCCGCATTTAATGCATTTGTTTTGGGTGTGCGTGTGTTTCGCGTTTTTATTGGTAAATGCAGCTCAGCGATGCGCGTCTTTGGGCCGTGTAAAAATCAATAGCGACGTCACGGCGCAGCGCTCAGCTGACAACATGTGAGTGAGATTGACGCATGCGCCTTGAGCCCAAACGAGAGCCTTCTTCCAACCCCCAGCACAGCCCTGCCAGCGCCCAGCTGCAGACCGCACACGTGCTGCCACAACGTCGGTGGCTACAGGTTTGTTTATCAACAATGGCGACAATGACGCACTTCTCGTTGTTCTCCACCTGAGCGCAACTGTTGCTTCGGCTGCCAGTTGCCCGCCCCCTTAGGGGTTCGGCCGAGGCCCAGGCCCCACACGAGCGGGCACAACTCCCTTATTAACCACCATTTGAAAAGGCGGTTCAATGGCCTCGCTTGGCGCTTTCATGAATGAGCAGCCTCCACCCAGAGAGTTGGGGGCAACTTTTAGCGGCGGGCTGCAACATTCCATTCAACAAACTTCCGCATGCATTCGTGCAATGTGGGTCACAGGGCTTCATTTTTGTTGTTGTTTGTTGTTCAGACATGACTTATTAATTTTTGAATAGATTTGCAGTTTGTTTGAATACCGGTTCGGTGCTTACCTGAAATATCAGCGCAAAAGCCATATCTTAATGCCTTTTTTTTGCTACGACCTTCGTTTAGTTTCTACGCACAATCTTTGCTGGCCCAAAGTCATAACACAAATGTTATTCTAAAGCGTCGAAAATTCACAGAATTTATTTTTCATTTTCAATGACGTAATGCTTGTCAAAAAAAAAAGGAGAACCCCCCCCACTACAAGCGTAAAAAACTATTCAAGCTAAAAGCGCGCCAAAAAAAAAAAAAACAAACAGAGCAAAAAACCTTTACGGCAGCTGCCACGCCCCGCATCGCACCGCCAGCTGGCATCAGCAGAAACTTAAGAGCACCACTTGCGGTACGTGCGGGCGGGCGGGCGGTACGTGCGGTGGCTGGTTGTGCTTTAGCTGAAAAGCGTCTCTCTACAGGCTGTGTGGCAAGTACTTGGGTCAGGTCCAAAAGCAGCGCCAAGCTCGACTGCATTCGAATAAACTATAGAAAAATCAGCGGCTTTTTATAGCGCAGTGTTTGGGCGGAGGTGGGCGGTGGAGAATCTACGGCAAGTAACTTAAGTGTGTGTTATTATCGCATCAGAGATAATTTAATAACGATGACGAGTTGTTGTCGTTGTTGTTGTTGTTGTTGCTTTTTCTGTTGCTGTTGCGGTTGCGGTTGCGGCTAAGGAAGGCCAAAGGATGTGTTGCTCAAGTGTTTGCGGCAAGGCGTTGAGTGCTTCGGCTTGTGGGCGTGCCAAAAGGCCGCATGCAGGTTGGGGCATCGAACAAAAGTATATGCATAAAAATATATACGCATACATATATAATGTGTGTGGCTGGCTGCTTCAAGGTTAGCTTGGCCCTCGCAGGTGAGGACAGGGCTGAGTTTTAATTATAACTTTTAATAGACACCTCACTAGATTGAGCCCTATGTCTCGGCCACTTAATTTAATTACGTTTTTTTTTTTTAGAAAACTAATCTATTTGCTATTTTATATAAATGGCTGTCTGTATTTTGTCTATATCATCCTCCCAACATCTCTTTCACTCATTCTTGCTTTCAATTATCTTTTGCTTATTGCATTATTGCTCTCATTTTCAGATTTTCATTTTGCAAGACTATTTCGAGTCAAAGAGAAGCTGCTCCATGTCACAGTCTATAAACCTTTAAATGATACTCTTTGCACTCCATTTGCTCCGATTCTTACTCTCTTACATTCTTTCTGTGATGTCTCTGTCCATTATCCCTTCTTCCACTTTTCCTCCCAATAATTGTCTCTCTTCTAGCTTTCACTCTCATTGGCTTCCTCTCATATTGTCTCTGGCTCTTATGCCTTCAATCTACAGTCTCTCTCTCTATCCTTCTGATTCAGGTGCTCTCTAATTTATATATCGCCTTTCTAGTCGATTTTAATGTTTTCAACAAAGGCTTTCAGATTTTGAGCTTTTGTGAAATAGATTTTCTCTTCCTCACTAAGGCTTACTCATCGTCTTTCTCTGTCTCTTTCCCTCTCGTTACCCATGCATCTGTGTTTCTCTTATATCAATATTTAAATATATATATATATCTTCTTAATCTCTCTCTCTCTCTCTCTCTGAAATATGTTATTACATTGATATTTCCGTCTGATTTCTCACTAAATCTTACTCATCTTCTCTGTCTCTCTCTCTCTCTCTCTTTCTCTCTCTCTCACTCTCTCTCTCTCTCTCTCTCTCTCTCACTCTCTCTCTCTACATATCTCTCTCTCTCTCTCTCTCTCTCTCCCTCTGTCAGTCTTCTGTCCCTTTCCCTCTCCATGTCTCCATTTATATCTATATCTGTGTCTCAATATCTTTCTTTATTTAACTTAAATTAAATTCAATTTTCAATGATTCGAGAATTAAGCTGATTTGTTTTCAATTTTTTCCCATGCCCAAGTTCGGTTTGACGTCAGCAGGTTCATTGGATTATAATGAAATACCATTCCATTAGCAGCCATTTCGAATCTGTGCTTAACCTTCTCCACTGCAGGCAGCTGCAACGAAAAACCAAAAAAAATCAAGTAAGCCCGACGAGGAGATACCCTGTGCGAAATTCCTTCTATGTATATATACAGGCACAAAACACGAATACACATTCACACACAGACGCGTGCATTCTTAAATTGCTTCGGTGCTTATAGTCGTTGCTTTATGAAATTTGGAGTCATTAAAGAGCAAAAGATGAATTAAAGAGTGAAAGGGATTCAAACGAACAGCTAGATCGCCTCGGCCATCGATGCTGACCTAGAATTTATTTACTTCAAGAGGTCAGAGATGCTTTCTTCTGCCTTTTGCAATATGCACGAAAACATTATACCCTGTTTACCCATTTTCAATGGGTATCAGTAATCGTTGTTGTTGTTGCTGCTGCTGCTGCTGCTGCTGAGCGAGCCACTTGAGCAGTTGTTGGCTTGTTTCGTGGCAACTAACAAGCCAATTGATTGGGAAAACTAAAGCAACATTTTTCACATAACGTTGGGGGACAGTTTTTGGCGCGTGATTTTCGTTCACTTGGGTGTCCAAAGGCAATCAATAGGCAGCAGTGCAGCTAAACCTAGAGAAAACTGGCTAAAAGAGTGTGGCAAGAGGGGGGGGGGGTTGGTGCATAGGGGGACCCTGGCTCATCAGTACAATGACGATGACGACAGAGGCACGAGCTCAGATTATGTGGAAAGGCAATGCCAAAGCACTTGACAAAATTATGTTAAGTGACTATGGCAAGACAAACACACACAGACAATCGCAATATATATATATAGATGTGCGTATGTCTATAGACGCAGCGCACATACATGCATATATATCATATACTACTGGCTCAAGAGTAGTCTGTATTAAAGAGTTTTCCTAGTTTTCCTAGCTGCTGCTGATGATGTTCTCTCAGGGCTTTCACTTTTCTAGCGTCATATAGTCTCCATAGCACACACACACATGCGCCCGCACGCACACACACACACACACACACACCAGCCCAGAGACTGCTGTCAGTGCATCCTTGTATCCTGCATCCTGCGCCTTCGTTGGTGAACAATTTTGTGCTTTGCTCGCCTGGCAACGTTTTAAATTCAAATCGTGTTCGCCTCCAACCGTCAGTTGTCAGCGACACTTCGAACTGCAAAGACGTTCCAAATCGGCGAAACATAAAACCGAATCCAAATGCATTAAATAACTCCAAATTAAAGTGTATCAAATTGACAAATTAACAAATTAATACAAATAAAAATATATAAGCAAATTTACTTGAAAACAACAATTTTAATTAAAATAGTTTCCGGAAATTTTACTAAATGATCTGCAAAATGTCTGGCGCAGCGTCGAGCTGATGTTATATAATCGTGAGAATTTCAAATTCTGTGAAACGCATCCATTCTTCTATCTGAGCCAGTTTTAGGCCAAACAAAAAGTAAAATACTTTAAAAAACGAGAAGTATTCAAGTTAAATAAAGCACAAGAAATTATTAGTTTATAGACTGAGTTTCGACTGTCGCGATTCTAGTTACAACATTTTAAAGTCTTCTAAAAATATTGAGAAATTCAGAGCCGTAAATTCAACTTATCAACGCCTGTTTAGTATTTTTTTTAAAATCATTTCCTAATATTTCTATTAATATTATTGTTCAAAGATTTTTTCGAAATTACCAAATTTTAATTTTTTTTTTTTTTGTAAAACCTTTTACTGTTGTCTTTTGATAAATATGTTTCTAGTGAGGATATTCCAAATCAATTAAAGGGAATCAGTTTAGGTTCCGGAAAGTTCGACCAGGCTTGCCCTAGGAAATAAACTTTAAATTAAAAATTAATATTAATATATATTTTATATATGTATTACATATATAAATATGTCATATTAATCCTAATTGTACTTTTTTGTGACAATAAATAATAATAGTAAATAATTATTTATAATCTTCGGTGTTTTAGGCGGCTAAAACATATTTTCCTTATTTAATTTTGAATTAATTAAATTTAGAACAAAAAATTGAATCATAAATATATGAAAATAGTTCAATTATTTTTCTTAATTAAATTTTTTAACTGCCTAAAAGTCTATTAATAAATGAGGATCTTTGTTTACGTGCTGCGTTTAATTAATAATTGAGGTAAATCGAGCATGCTGGCCTAATTACGCATGAGGAATACCAATTCCCCAGTTCGTAAACCATGGCGTCTTGTAGACGAGCACAATCTGCCTACCTTAATTTACCATATGCATTGTCCTTGTCGAATGCATCCGTTGCATTGGCTGCCTTCAAGCCGCCGCCGTGTGGCGCTCAATGGGGCACATTCTGTGCGGCATCGGCAGCGCACAAAAGGCGCATGGGCCACTTAAAGCCGCCCCGCCAACTGCAAACCACAAGCCACAAACCGCCCACGCGCTCGCTTCGAGTGGCTTTAATTGTGAATTAAGACGGTATTGTGGCCCCCACGTGTAGACAGAGCGAGACAGAGTGGCAGAGAGAGAGAGGGGGAGAGAGAGAGACAGGTAGCAGGGCTGACAGGGTTGGCAATGCCGAGGCTATTGTGCAGGAAGTGCACTAACTGTCCCCGCCATTGTCCTTTAGTTCACATTTTATTTACACCGTTAAGCAGCATAATTGTCGCTATTTTCGTGCGCCAGCTAAGAAGAAACCCTCTCGATGCATTTTCAATGCCAGAGACACAGTTCGAGAGCTTTGCTTTGATCCGCCGCAAAGGTTATGTCAGGGCCATCAATCAACCCAACCCATTGAAACTATTTAAATACTCACGATATCCTTTGTCACCTGCTGTACTCGTTGCAGAGACCGATACAATTTACAGCCATGGTCGCGCAAGTAATTCTGCTCGTCATTTGCTGCATTTGCCTGAAACACTTTGCCAAGGGTGAATTTCAGTGAGTATACGAAAACACGCCCATCTGTATGAGTCTATCTGAAACTCATTAAACTTTAGACAAAGTCTGGCTATAACCGATATTTTACCTGAGGACATCAAACGCTATGACAAAATGCGTCCACCCAAGAAGGAGGGTCAGCCTACGATTGTTTATTTTCATGTCACAGTGATGGGTCTCGATTCCATCGATGAGAACTCCATGACCTATGTGGCGGATGTGTTCTTTGCACAGACCTGGAAGGATCATCGTCTGCGCTTGCCCGAGAACATGACGCAGGAGTATCGATTGCTCGAGGTGGATTGGCTCAAAAATATGTGGCGACCGGATTCCTTCTTTAAGAACGCCAAATCGGTTACATTTCAAACAATGACAATACCCAATCACTATATGTGGCTCTACAAAGACAAGACCATACTCTATATGGTGAAATTAACCCTTAAGCTTTCCTGCATCATGAACTTTGCCATCTATCCACATGATACACAGGAGTGCAAGCTGCAAATGGAGAGCTGTGAGTTCGAAGATAGTCTAATATTAAATAAGTATTTCCTATTTTATAGCACGTAAGAGTTAACGTAAGTGAATTTCCGTCCATTTGGTTAGATTTAACGGATTGGATGCTGGTGAAAAATTAGATTATAATTGAATGTGAGCAAAAAAACTATATTTTACACTTCTAATTTCTATTCGCATAAAAGGGAAATTCGAAGCGAGAACAAGCTATGTTTTACATTTGTAATAACTGTTCCCATAAAAGGGAAATTCAAAGCGAATTTCACAGGGAAATTTGATTTTGAGAAATTAAATACTTTTGCAAGAATACAGAGAAAGGAAAGAAATATGTAAAGCTATGTTTTACATTTGTAATAACTGTTCCCATAAAAGGGAAATTCAAAGCGAATTTCACAGGGAAATTTGATTTTGAGAAATTAAATACTTTTTATACCTCTTATTATCTTTACCAGTATCGCATACCACAGATGATTTAATCTTTCAATGGGATCCCACAACGCCGCTGGTGGTAGACGAGAACATTGAATTGCCGCAGGTGGCGCTGATACGTAATGAGACCGCGGACTGTACACAGGTCTATTCGACTGGGAATTTCACCTGTTTGGAGGTGGTTTTTACGCTAAAACGTCGCCTGGTCTATTATGTATTCAATACCTATATACCTACCTGCATGATTGTGATTATGTCGTGGGTCTCCTTCTGGATCAAACCGGAGGCGGCGCCGGCCCGTGTCACACTAGGCGTCACATCGTTGCTCACGCTCTCCACGCAGCACGCAAAGTCGCAGTCATCCTTGCCGCCCGTCTCCTATTTGAAAGCTGTGGATGCATTCATGTCCGTCTGCACGGTGTTTGTGTTTATGGCTCTTATGGAGTATTGCCTGATAAATATTGTGCTCAGCGACACGCCCATACCCAAACCTATGGCATATCCACCCAAGCCTGTGGCGGGCGAGGGGGGCAAAAAGGATGGGGAGGCGGCACCAGCCGGTGGCAGTAATGCTGCAAACAATAAACAGCCCACGATGTTGCCCCTGGCGGATGAGAAAATTGAAAAAATTGAAAAGATTTTCGATGAGATGACCAAAAATAAGCGCGTAAGTTGAAAACTAAAGATTGTTTGACTGTATAAGTGTGTTTGTATTAGTGAGCTTTTAAGTGAAAAGCTCATTTCAGCCTTAAGCCAATGCGCTAAGCTTTCAGCTTTCAAAGCAATCAGCATCTGTGTGTTGCATAAGTGAGACACTAGCACAAAGCAGATCTATAAAATGAGATATTATAAACTAAATTGTGCCATTTCAGATTGTGACCACCACACGCCGTGTGGTGCGGCCTCCGCTAGACGCCGACGGTCCCTGGATACCGCGTCAGGAGTCGCATATTATACTGACCCCAACCATACGGCCACCGCCACCGCCGCCGCCGGCACCGGAACCGGAAATGCCCAAGCCGAAGCTAACGCCCGCCCAGGAGCGTCTCAAGCGCGCCATCTATATCGATCGCTCATCGCGTGTGCTCTTCCCCGCGCTCTTTGCCAGCCTCAATTGCATCTATTGGATTGTGTTTTACGAGTATCTGTAAGATATGCGCTGGCTCTGTTGTAAATATGGTACGTTCCCGATTGCCCTCACACAATCTATCTGCCTCTTTCTCCCTCTCTCTATCTGTATTTAATGTTAATTGTTCACAAGGTATAAATATATAAAAATGTAATCTTAAGCATAATCTTTGAGTCATCGAATTTTAAACTGAAAGAGCAAAACATAAATTGTAGCAAGCTGTTGCTTATACTCTCTATCTATATATATATATAAATATGACTTATGCGTAAAGTATATATAGTACAGCATATAGTACATATGCAAAAATGATAAAGTATGTGAATTCAATTCCTAAATGCGTAAGCTTAAATATTTCAATGGCGTTGTAGATGTAGCTTATATTTTAATGCTAACTTAATATATTTAAAATGCTTTTAATTGTAAATAAATGAAGTACATTAATAAATATATTATGATAATTAAACAATAATATTTTAAAGCCATTTTAGTTAGAGCTTCTTGGTATTCTTGGTATTCAGTATATCCGGAAACTAAATACTTAAATCAAGCAATCAAGATCCGGCTAAGCTTTCTTCTTCTTCTTCTTCTTTTTTTTGAGAACAAAGTTCTTTATCAATGATAACAAAACAAGACTGAAATACAGTAAAAGTTGAGGCTTTTTTTTTAAAGGACGTCTTTTAGTTAATTCAAGAAAGTAAATTCTTGAAATAATAATTTTCTATAGTCCTGGCATAAAATTTTTTAAGTTTGTTTAAAAGCAAAAAAATTTTTTTTGCAAAAATATTATTTTATTAATATTTAAGATACTTTAGCCTTAAATATGTTTCAAAAGTAACGGCACTCGTATCATATAAGAAAGCGCTTGAAAAGCTTAGATCGCAGTGAGCTTTCGGAGCTTTGTTCATTAAAGCGCCAGCGCAGTGCTTAAAACTAAAAGCTCATATGAGGGAGCGCAATTCGAAATTAATTAATACGCGAGCTTTGGATATGCCCTCCCTTATATCCACACACATACGCATTTGTGCCTCAAGTTTATTTATTCAAATTTCTTACAGTCGCACATTTTCTCAGCCATTAAGCCAGCCTATGCTTTTATTAACACTTTTCTTTTCATGTACTATTATAGTTTTATTGCTCTGGTTGCTTTTCCCTTTAAAGGTGTCAACAGCTGGCTGAACAATAGCTGGCAAAATACCACAACTACAAAAGGTTTTCTAACTTTTGCAGTTGTCAAACAGATTCGCATGAATACCCAATTAATTGTGTTGGTCGCACGCTCCATACTTTTGCTTTTCACGGTCGTTTGTGAGAGATGAGCTGACACAGATGCGCTGGCAAAAATGAGAGCCAGACCCTGAGGGGCTATATTCATACAAAAGTCCATTTTTTTTTTGGATGTGTGCAACAAAAAAATGAATGCTATTCAAAGGCTTTTGGCCAAAGTCTTTTGTTTACATTGATCTAGTTTTCGATAAAGAAGTGCTTAAAGTATCTTAATTGTGGCTTGTTTTAGTATAGAAAATAATTTACGCTTAACCAACTTATTGTAGGCAGCAAGTTTGTGCCCTCAGTCTTTTGCCTAGAGTGATCTAGATATTGCTAGATACGTACTTATTGCAGCTGAAGAGCTTATCTCACCTTGCTTAATGATAGCTTTTAATCATAATCACCTCAAGGATTTCTGTTGAAAACCCGAGCTGAAAACATTTGGTTTTTCCACAACTCAACGCGTTCGCAGCTCCATTGAACTATATTGAATAATAGTTTTGTAGTGTTGCGACCTTTCGTTAAGTTGTTTTGCTCAAAAATTTTGCTTCATAATCAATTCGCATTTTAAGTAGGCCAAAAACTGTTGCGGGGGAAACCACGTCAAAGTGCATGAATCATCTAAAACAACATTCGAAGCGTACTCTCTGTAGGGTATTGCAATACAGTAATTTCCAGCAACAAAAAATAAAGTGAAAATAAAACAAAACAAAAACCATCGAAGGTTGCGCAAAATTTTGACTAAATATGCTGGGGATTACCTGAGCGTCGAGCTAAAGTGCGCCAATGCTTGAGGTGGGCGCGTTTACAGGTTCCTAATTCAGTCGCGGGTTCATTGGGGTTTGCTTTGAAGGTGCACAGAATGAGGTAGAGTGGGAGCAGTTGTAGTTTTTTTTTTCCTTTCCTTCATTTACTTTTAATACCCTGAATTAATGACGAATGGATATAAAGAGTATGTTGGCTTTGTGCTAACATATAAAAACGGCAGAAGGCAGCATAGACATATTCTTGATCAAGACGAGCTGAGTCTGACCATATCCGTCTGTATAATCGCAGCTTGAAACTTGATATATATAACCTCGCATAACATACGCAGAAGTTTATTAGTTTTTGCTGATATTTTTTATTCTATTTTCTTAATATCGAAACAAAATTTCATTCTGCGACTTTGCTTTTTAGGCATAACTCCAAAACCTTAAGATCTATGTAACTTTGTATGCGGGATCTCGTTCAGTACAAATACATTAAGAATGGATGTCTCCTTTCCATTCCTGCCAAACTTGTAAAAAATACATTCTTCAGGCGCAGTCTTGGGGTTTGGTATTTAAAGACAAATGTATGTCAAATTTGTGGCCTGAGAATTCATAAAGATCGGACTATAAGCACCGAAGATATTCCAGATTATATTTCCTATATAGTATATGTCCAAGGAAAGAAGTTCAGGGTATCTGCTAGTCGGGAACTGCCGCCTAAAGCACTCTTACACGTTTTTTTTGTTGTTAAGCCTCTACAGTTAATTACAGAATTTAAAGCACAGCATGCTCGACGAAGCGATCCATCAATGCAATAAGCGCCAAAGCTGAAAGAAAGTAAAAACCCAGTACGTCTCTGCGCTACCTTCGTGGTCTTAAGTGCGCACACTCTTTGCACAAAGCAAAACGAAAAGAGTGGCAACACCGCCCCGCCCACCCCGCTAGGCCGCCCGCAACTCAAAAGTCAAAGCTGTCTCCGAGTGCGACTTGAAGCGCTTTTATTGTGTTGCCTGCCGCAGCATTAGTTGCTGTTGTTGTTATTGCTGTTGTTGCCGTTGTCGCGGCTGTTGTATCGTTTTGTGTTTTGCAGTTTCAGTTTCAATTTCAGTCGAACTCGGGCAGCAACGGCACACGGAAGCAGCCGCGGCGCAGGCGCAACAGCAATAATCTTAAAAAAAAAACCGAAAAAAAAATCAAGTGAATTTAAGTGAAAAATCAACAGCAACAAATTTGTGTGTGATTTTTAAGTGAAATTTTTGATCGTTGAAATATTTATGGCATTTTTGCGCAATTCGCAAGTTAAATAAACATATAAATAAATAAAAATTTAAGCATTAACGCGAGACAATTAACAGCTCATAAGCATAACAAAATAATAATAAAAGCGTTTAAATTTCTTAATAAAAACAAAAAATACATTTATATTTATTTTAACACGGCGCTTAACACTTTCATTTTCATCCCAACGTTCGCTCGGCCGCCGTTTCGTTAAGTGCGCCAACGTTGTCGGTTTCGTTGAGTCGTGTTAAATAACAATAAACAAAAGAGTTAACGAAAGATTCCAAACCAAATTGAATATTGAATATTAAATATATACTCCATAATTTCTATCTTGTTATTGCAAATGAAATAAAAGTAACGCGAAATTTGTTTTCGACAAGAAAAATGCATTTGAGTGCATATTTGTTGTGCCTAGGTGGGTATACGAAAATGGACCAACATTTTTGACATATATATATTTTGTAATATTTTACGGAGCCGCGTGCGTGTCGCTTTATGTGCTAATGTGTGGTTGGTTTGTGTGCTGCCTAAAAACAAAAGACTTAGGCAACGAACTTGAATTTGTATGGAGTGTGAAGTGGCCAGCAAATTGAGTTCAGGCAACTGCATAAATAAAAGCACAGTGCGGCGGCTTAAGACCATCATTTCAACACCTTAATTGAGCTACATTTTCGTTGTGAATAAAAGCAGATCAAGTTTTTATTTTTTATTTCTTAGTTACTTTTATCTATCTCTCAGCTCTGGTATGTTTATGTATTGTAAAAGTGAAACCCTAAGCTCAAGTTCAAGCTGTATCGCTTTGTTGTCGGTTTTTGTTTCTCTTCCAATTAATGAGCCAAAAAAACCATAATGCGCATCGGACAGAAAGACAGAAAGAAAAAAAAAACGTGACTAAGTCTGCAACTTTCTTTGGCAGCGGCAACCGCTGCAAAAATCTTCCGCCAAGTGACGTCACAGGCCAAACCACAAACCACAAACCAGTTGGGGCCAAAATGCAAATCGCATTGTCCAAGGCCAATCAAATTGTCTGTTGGCTCTAGCTCTGGCAGCTGTTGCAGCTACTGTAGATACAAATTAACATTTACCAGATACAGATACACGTTTCTGCACCGCCTGCAAGTGTCTTTATGGTATTACCGCAACACCTCGGCCTATCCATACACATTATGCAACTACTTATTTATAAAAAAAAAAAAAGCGAAAAAAAGTTGCTGCCGCTGTCATCGCTCGCTGCACAAAGCCAAACGCCAGCGATTTGTTGCTGCTGCTGCTGTTGTTTTTGTTGTTTCCGTTCGTTTGTTCGCGATGTCTACAATTTAATGTTATATTTATCTGTCGCTTCGGAAGTTATTGCAGCTATTTTGTATTTTTTTTTTTATTGTCGCATCGCAACGTGTCCGTTGCTCAATTGCAAATTTTTCCCGCAACGCTGACAATTTCAGTTTCCCCCAGCCGGTTAGCCAGGATTTTCACTTTCATTGGCATTGGAGTAGAGTAATAATAGAAACAGCTGCTTGATTGCTGCATGGATTGACTTGGCCTGGGTCAAAGTTCGCGCAAATTACAAGAGATAAAAGATAAAAAGTGATAGTCATATTAGTAAAGAATATGAATATAAGTCTTAATACTTTTAAGAGCCTTAGATGAATTTAATTTTTTTTTTTCTAAGTTAAACGATTTTTGCGAATTAATTTAGTTTTCTCTGTAGTTTCTTTTTGTATTTTTTTGCATATTTAATATATATAATCTAGAGTTTCTAAGAAGTTTGATGTCTGTATCCACATAATAAAATTATAGAGTATATATATATATATTTATTTTATTTTGTTTCATATATTTAATTACTTTTTGTTGTCAACTTTTTAGTTTCTGATTTTGATTTTCTTGACTGCTCAACAAAATTATGTAGCATAAATAAAAATTTAATTTATTTTATATTAAACCTTTTAAGACTAAATTAAAACCGAATTTTTTTAAATTTACAATTGCTCAAATGAAAGAATTAAATACAATTTTCTAACTCTCCAAAAAATATTTAAAGAAAAGAAAAAATGTGCCAGTCATATTAATTCAATTTCTTGGTCATGAAAGTAGCCCAATTTTTAAATATAATACCTATATATAAATTTATTTTATATATATATATAATCTTAAACAAACAATAGTTCGAACGTTGCCGAACATTGCGGCATTCACTTTTCATAAGAAATCATTTCTATATGCGAGCCAAAAAGGCTTTTCGTATAATTGGCCAATATTTCATTGTATGGCGCCGCAAGAAAATACAGAGGGAAAAAAATGTAAAAAAAAATAAAAGCAACTACAAAAAGCATTTTGCCATTGGTATGAGCAATTTTATTCCCTAGTGAAAGTGACAAAGTTGCAGTGCACACCTCGAAAAATGTTAATGAGCCAGCAGCGAGTGGCGCACAGAAAACCATACAAAAATAAATACAAAAAAATCTCAAGTTAAACTGTAACACAGTTTAAGTCGAAATGTTTCGGCAATTATCGGAGATAATCACATTTTCAGTGCGTGGAGAAATTTAAATGCGACCTTGAGCTGCGGCCTGTGCATGCAAATGCAGAATAGCTTCATCTTAAGTATTGGAAGACGATCAAGACGATCAAACTGCAAGTCATGTTGGCGGGCGCGTAACCAGTGCGAGCTGCGATTATGTCACAGCCAACTAAATAAACATTAAACGCTTCAGTTGAGGAGCCACATGCGGATATGCATGGGCCGTGCCCGGGGCGGGAGCAGTACGGGTGGTTAGCTGTGGCTGGGGCTGGGGCTGGGGCTGGGCAATAGAGCGAGAGGGCCACTAGCGACATACTTTCTCATTTGTTTGTTGTACTTCAGATGCGTAATGCCAATTTGTGGCATTACCCAACCCGCAAGAGCTTTTGCATAAGCCAATGCGAAAAGTTGTCGACTTCAAATTTGGCTTAGGTCAGTTCGTAAGCAAATGTTTATAATCTTTTTAATTCAAATTGTTATTGCCGACTGCTTGATTGACTGATTGATTTAATGTGTGTCAAACTATTTCTGAAATGAAATGTGTTTTAAGTTGATTTTAATTTTTGTATGCAGAAATGTGTAAACAACAATTAGCCCGAAGAAGGGCAGATAATATGTGATTTATATATGCTTTTACTAAAAATATTTATAAAGCCCAAGATACTGGATAGTCTTTATTATATTCCCAGCTGTTTCTTTGAGTTTATACAAATTAAAGTCTTTTAAGGGAATCTTAAAATTTGAGTTTAGTGCATGGATGGAAAATAGTTGCTAAGACTTATCTTAAAAATCCTAGATAAAATTAAGTAAACATGATTTTCTGGCTATAATTATTATATATTAAATTCGGCTTTTAGCGGTACCTTTAAACATAAATAATATGTTTTGACGAAGTTTGGTTACTAATAGTAAATTACTGAAAACGTATGTCTGTAATAGGAAACTTAATAAATAGAAGAAAAATGGTTGCTTAAGCTTATCTCAAGACATCCAGGATAAAATGAAAAAACAATAATAAAATTATTATATTAAATTTCAGTTTTAAATACTATATTTGAACTCAAATACTATTTTAATGATTTCTAACCCTAAATTCCTGAAAACTTAAGTCTGTAATAAGAAACTTAATAAATGGGCGAAAAGTAGTTACCTAAATTTATCTTAAGAGATCCAATAAAAAAATATATGAACAATATTTGCTTGTTAATATTTCTATACTAACGTTCAGTTATAATACTTTCTTTCGAGCCCTAACCCATTGCCTTCATCAGAATCTAACAGAATCTTCTTCCATTTGATATTCCCACAGCGCTTGGAGCTGGGATCTTGGTGCAGGCGCAAGTAACCGCAGAGGACGATGAGCAGCCGCAGCACTTGACCAACGATGGTAAGTGGTTCACTTTGCAATTTGGTTACCACGGGCATTCATAACTTTAACTATTAAGGCAGCGTCTTTTTTTCAGCCGCATCTGCACGACACGCGCCTGGGCCGTCAGCTGGCCGAGGATTTGGAGTACAGCTCGTATTTGGCTAGCAGCGGGAGCAGCGGCAGCAGCGGCAGCTCCAGCAGCAATGCTAGCGAGGATGATGATGAGGACGATATTGAGGGCTCCAGCGAGTACTATGACAGCGATGAGGAGCCAAGTGCGGGCAGCAGCGGCGACAGCAGCAATGAGTCGCTGCCACGCCTGCTATCGCCGTCCACCTTCCATCGCATCTCAGAGACGCTGGGCGCACTCAACACAGTTGGCCACATGCTAGTGGACATGACGCGCGGCGGACAGGAGAGCAAGACGGAGAATGGCAGTAGCAGTAGCGGTATCAGTACCAGTACCAGTAGCAGCAGCGATGACAGCTCCACCAGCAGCAGCACCACCACCACCAGCAGCACCAGCACCACCGCAACAGAGCTGAGCGACTCCACGACTGGCGCGAACCGAGGCATTGCTGAGCCGCTGGCTGGCATCTCAGGCAAGATTTTGGATACGACAACAACACTGTCCGCCAACAGTTTGCTGCCGGCGGGCAAGCCCGCCAATTTGAGCGCCATACAAGTGGCCACCAAGCGCATCGGGCTGGAGGAGGCGCCGGAAAAGCCTATGTTTGTGGAGAACAAGGAGGCCAAGCAGCAAAAGAAGAAGCGCAAGAAGAACAAAAACAAGCAGAAGCTGAAAAAGCCCAACGAGGAGCCAAACCAGGCAACGCCACAATCCCAGCAGAAAATCAAAATACCCACCACGCCGCGCACCACCACCACCACAACCACCAGCGCAGGCAGCAGCAGCACCATCAGCTCCACCACGCTGCGTCCACTCGATCAGCTGGCCTTGGAGAGTGAGAATGCCGGCACCGCCAAGGATGTGGAGAACTATTGCAAGACGCCCAGCGGTCGGCCGGGACGCTGCGAGGATCTGAGCAGCTGTCCCGCGCTGCTTCTCAATCTGAGCAGCCTGCGCGAGTCGCTCTGTTTTAAGAGCCTCTTTGTGCCCGGTGTTTGTTGTCCCCTGTCTGCGAGCGCCTCTGAGAGCTCCACAGTGCTGACCACACAGCGTCCTTTGAAGCTGACCACCAGGGCACCCGCAAGCACCACCACACTGGCCACCACAAAGCGCACCACACTGCGACCCACGGCCAGACCGAGCACCCGACCCACCTCTGGACTGGTGCTTATACCACAAAAGAAACCGCCGACAACAACAACCAGCACAACCACTGAGGTGCCACTGGAGCCAGAGGATCTGGATGAGATAGCCAATAATATTGTCGATCCGGATGAGTGTGGACAGCAGGAGTATTCGACGGGTCGCATTGTGGGCGGTGTCGAGGCGCCCAACGGACAATGGCCCTGGATGGCTGCCATCTTTTTGCACGGCCCAAAGCGCACAGAATTTTGGTGCGGTGGCTCGCTAATTGGCACCAAGTATATTCTGACTGCGGCGCATTGTACCAGGGATTCAAGACAGAAGCCGTAAGTATGGGCGTGATAACGGTAAAATGGTGGGAAACGGTAAAAAGCTCCTTTACGAATAGCTTTTAGGGCAAATATAAACTTTTGGCTTAATCCAAATTTCAAGCCAAAACATTTAGCTTATAACACATCAAGCCTAATAGAGTTTTAAAGCACATTAAAGCTTAAAGTTTGTCTTCGTTGCTTAAATTAAATACTTCAAGCTTCCAGCAGATGCTTTAACTTACCGACACGTATTTGAGTAAAGCTTTGCAAGCCCATCGAGGCTCTAAGTGAGACGGACGCTTTGCCAGAAAGCGCAATAAAGCTTTTATTCACATATCATTGCGTGTCTTCCTTTTGGTTGCCTCTGCTTATATGTTTAACATCACACTTCATTAGCATAACTGTCTTGCGTGATTAATTTAATACTTAATCCAAAGCTTCAAAGTCAACTAATATCATTAATAATTATTCTTGAAGGTTTGCTGCGCGTCAGTTCACGGTACGTTTGGGTGACATTGACCTCTCCACAGATGCCGAACCCTCCGATCCGGTTACCTTTGCCGTTAAGGAAGTGCGCACACACGAACGGTGAGTGTCGCCAACTACTGGTTTAAGGCTCAGCTAACTGATTAAACTATTCCCTGCAGATTCTCTCGCATTGGCTTTTATAACGACATAGCCATACTTGTGCTGGATAAGCCTGTGCGCAAGTCAAAGTATGTGATACCCGTTTGCCTGCCGCGAGCGGGTCGAATGCCGCCCAAGGAGCGTTTGCCTGGACGTCGTGCCACCGTGGTCGGCTGGGGAACCACCTACTATGGCGGCAAGGAGTCCACCAGTCAGCGGCAGGCCGAGTTGCCCATCTGGCGCAACGAGGACTGCGACCGCAGCTACTTTCAGCCCATCAATGAGAACTTCATTTGCGCTGGCTACTCCGACGGAGGCGTCGATGCGTGTCAGGTGGGTACCGCTTGAAGCTCGTCGGAGTTTTCCAGTCTAATGTGTCTATTTTCTTAACAGGGCGACTCTGGTGGTCCCCTGATGATGCGCTACGACTCGCACTGGGTGCAGCTGGGCGTGGTCTCTTTTGGCAACAAGTGCGGCGAGCCTGGCTACCCTGGCGTCTACACACGCGTCACGGAGTATCTCGACTGGATACGCGATCACACGCGGGACTAGACGCACGGACGGCAGATGTCTTAGTTGTAACTGTAGCTAGGTTAATGTACGCGCTAGTCTATGTACGTTTAATGCTCTCTCCCTGTCGCTGTTTATACGATATTTATGAATTCCCCCTCCGCCCACAGGCACAAATGTTAACCATATTACGCGTAGTTTTGTATAGCATTTGTTATTTAAATTATTTAATCTTAAAAGTTAAAATAAAAATCAAAACGAATTTGAAATGACTTTAAGTTGAAACTAATCCAGATAAATAATTAAAATGAACAAGAATCAACGATAAATTTTAAAGAAATAAAAAAAAAAATGAATTAAGCATGACATTCTTTATAAAGTTTTCTGGATCAAATTATGAAATCGTCCACAGTACTTGCATAGTACTTCCCTCTACGGCTAAGTATGTATATTTAGCTCGCTCTCTCTCTCTCTATCTCTCCCTCTTGCTATCACATCAAGACTACATATGCTATCTTGCCATGACGAGAGAGCTCTCTTTCTTTATTCTCCCTGATTTTTTTGCCTGTTTTTTTATTTATTTTCCTTCTTTCTCCGTCTCTCTTTATCTAATTTTTTTTTTTGAAAAGGGTTCTCTCTTGAAGTTAGTTTCTGAAAAGCAGTTAATTCTGCTATTCTTCGTTTTGCGACCTTCTTAAACGTTTTTATTTAGAGCGTTTCTTTGTTGTTATAGTAAGGTGTGTAAAAAAGTGGTGCTAATTCTTATATATTCCATAACGTATCAAATGTAATTGACAAGCGTTAAGCTTTGGCAATTTTGATACATATGGTAAATCCCAACCAGATGCTAACTTTTTTGTTGGCACTGTTGACTATCGACCATTTGACTAGATCTTTTTCATTATATCGTTGTCTATAATTATCAGTAGGTATTTGAAGTGATTAGTATAAAGCTATTAAGAGCTATATTACAACAGTGTTGTACTGTTGTACTTCACTTCGTTGGGCGTAAAACAATAAATGATGATAGAAATAGTAATCGTAGCAATAGCTAAAACCTAATATCAATCAACCGATATCTTAAATATATTGACTTATTTCATGGCCTTAAAACCCGAGATCTAAGATCGCCTTATTCCTTGTTTCGAATATCTCAAACATAATTTGGATTTATTAATACTATTATGTATTAACCTAGTACATAATACTGCATATCCAACACTCCATTAAAAATTCCTAATACCTTATATACCTTGTATATATAAGAATAGCCTAAGCAGTCATTATTTTTTACTATTTCGCAAATCCGAACTGTCAATCTACGCGTTGAGGGGTAAGTACTTGATAATCGTAATATAAATAAACATTTTCTGGTAGGGCCAACAGTAAGTTGAGTGGGGCGCCGTTAATCAGAAGTTCGCGGGCTGGTTCAATCGATTGTCAATTTCGCTTTCAGTTCTGCCAAAGTCCGCACAGCTGACGGACGCGTTAGTTTTTTTTGTGCTTTTGCCGGCAACGCGCGCGTTTTTTCGCTCTCTTTCTCTCGCTCTTTCTTTTCTGTTCAATGAATTTTGTGAATTGTAAATCAATCGATAATTCAATTGGGCACTTGAAATTCAGATTAACAATTAGCAGTAGCTATAAGCTATCAGAATTTATTTGTTTATAAAGGTGATAAGAATCTTTGTGTGTCGTTTTTTTTTTGCCCGCTGTGCGTAAGAGAAAAGCTGTGCGTGTTTTGTTTTTAAAAAGCTTTCAGTGCATGAGACGCGTGGTAAGTGCAAGACTCTCGCGGAGAACAAACCTCGCTCTGGTAAAGCGAAAGAGGGTGAGCGATTGATAGGGAGCGTAACTGACAACCTCTTAGTCAGCCGAGGGCATAAATAAGTCAATTTAGAGGAAGTAGATATAGCAGCTACTTGGTATTATCATTATAGATTAAACAAAAATTATGTTTTGTATCGATAGTTTTAACATGCGATGTTTTTTTTACAACAGCGACTGTAAATCATAAAATGTAAACACGACTTGTGGCTTCTTTAGCTTAAAGCTTCTGGTGTTTATGTGTTTAATGTTAAGTTAAGCACAAGCATAAAAAGCTTTATGCTGCTGTTAAAATGACGCAGCGCTTTTTAGGCTGTTTTCCACGTTGTGCGCAATTTTAAATTTAGTTTATTTGATCAAGCAGCTGAACTTTAAATTGTTAAAGGGTCATTTAATTTTTTGTTTTTAACAAGAATTGGTGGATGTAATTTCGTTTATGTACACTGTGTCCCATTTTAGAGAGCCATTAATGATTTTTGTTTGTTTAAAGAATTACTTTGATCACAATGAATTCAGAAAAATGATGTACTCATTTAAAAAAGTTAGAAAAAAAAGTCATGTTCCCGCCCGGGTTCGAACCGGGGACCTTGTGCGTGTGAAGCACACGTGATAACCGCTACACTACGGAAACTGCTGGTAGCTCATCAACTTAAGGCCGCTCAAGATCAAAAGCTCGCACAGTTTGATATTGTATAAGAAATTGGTGACATTTTAACATTGAAATAAAAAATTGTATGCGATCATTATTGAGGATAAACAAGTTGTAAAGTCTGCGCCTAGCTCTTAAGATATGTATATGAGTCAAAATGAATAATTTCATTATAATTCATAAATGCGTAAAAAAGTAATAAAAATAAAATTATTTTCTATTATAAAAAAAAGTACAAATTTAAAGGAAATTATTATTAAAAAATACAAAAATCTAAGACTTGTTCCCGCCCGGGTTCGAACCGGGGACCTTGTGCGTGTGAAGCACACGTGATAACCGCTACACTACGGAAACTCATGAAAATCGATCGGCCTAATGTGGCTCATAGGTGCGGCTCGGCTCGCTGGGGCCAGGCAATTACTGTCGTTGGCCAAAGCGAATTGTCCCCGGCTGGAATTTGTCAAACTCTTGCCACGCCCACTGTTAATTGGCATCTTGCCAGGCCGCCCACTTTCAATGGCTGCTCAATTGGCACAGAGGGCACAAAAAGCATTCGAGGTATTCGCTGGAGTTGAGAAATGCCTGAAACATGCACACAGATTACCAAGTCAAGTTCCAGCAAGTACACCTCCGCCACGCGCCTGCCCTACTCCCACGATTCACCTTTAAATAAATTTGCCCACGCTGATCCTTAATTAAAATTCCTATTGTCTGTGCTGGCCTGCATAGATTTTGCCACCCCCAGCGCCTGCCGCTGGCACACAATTAATATGCAGGCCAAGAACGTTTTCTAACTGCTCGCACTCGTTATAATTACGCATTTAAATTGGCACAAAGGTTGAATCCATTGCCAGAGCTGGAGACGGCGTCCTGGCCAGATATATCACCAGCCTTGGCTGTGAATGTTGAATTCGCTCTCGGCTCGCTTTTGTTATTCGCTTGCTGTGGGTATTATAATTTAAATCGGCTAATACGTAACGCATTGAAGGAAATGAATTCGCCTTGTATATATTCGGTTTATATATTAATATCGCTAGTCAAGTGAATATATATATAATGTCTTGGCTCTCTTCGTCTGTCAGTTATTATGCAAATAAGTCTATCAGTTGTGATGGTATTTTGATGAAACTTGGTTTGGATGTGTCCTTTTATGGGACAATAAAGTTTTGTTTATAATTTTTTAAATATTTAATTAAATTATACCCCGGTCCTTGAGCCAGCTAAATAAATATTTGAATAAAAATGGAAAGTTCGCCAACACCAGCAACACATTTTTGTTATTCTGCATTTCTTAACCAAATTTACAATTAACGAGTGGTATTTCGGAAAAATTAAATATGCAAGTCCCATCACATGTGAACTATATGTGAAAACTTAAGTTTCAGTTTTCCATCCCGAATTATTATATCATATAGTCGCTTATTGCTTTTCAAGAAATCTCTAGCATTTTCAGAAAATTAGGAATTGAATTGGACTAGCAACATTTGGATAAACTTAATAGTATCAATTGATTGATTGTAATATATCACTAAAGTTTCATATTCCTTATTATTAGATCGGTAAATACATTTTGTATTATAAGCAACTTCGTGTGGTTTCGATTCAACTAAACACTTCAATGTACATAGATTGCTATACTATAAAGCTGTCTTTCTCTATTATATAGATATACAACATACAAATAAATAAATAAAGCTATCTCTATCTATCATATAAATATATAACATTCAAATAAGTTATATATAAAAGAATTATTAGAATATTATATCGTACATTAAAATATGTAACGCTGCAAAGGTATTTAATCTTCGGCAATCCAAAGATAAATCTTTGTTGTTATTGTTGGTTTTGAGGTTGTTGTTGTGTGTGTGGTGTGGCCCCATAAATTTGGGTCAATGGGCAAAACGTCAGAATTGAGTAATTACAACATAATTTTCAATTTTGCAGTTTACGTTGTAAATTAATTTGCGGTCGACATTTGCAAAACGGGCCGCGCGCATTGTGTGGCACGGCTTTTGGACAACGCCTATTATCCCCCCACTACCCCACCACGTCGCAATCCCGCCATCTCGCCACTGCAGCAGCAGTTGAGGCGAGTCGAGTCGAGTCGAGTCGAGTCTATGCTGATGAAGCGCACAATCGTGACATGGGGCGTGGGGTATGCGGGCTGCTTGGTCAGAACAATTATAGCAACAATTAAGGGGCAGCTGGGCAGCTCATTGGATTTGTGTGTTGGCGGGTCGAGTGCTAAAGGAGAGGGGGAGTTGGAGGGTCGGGGGGGTCGTCGTTTGTTGTGCATAATTAATTTGCAGTTATTTTGCACGTTCGTGTGTTTTTTTCTTTATTTTTTATTCCCCCTAATACGGGCTGGGGGTTCCGCCTGGGGGTCTGGCAAAATCTGTTTACGATTTTACAGTTGAGCGCATTTTAATTGAAAAAAACTAAAAGACAAGCCAGTGTCAACGACACATGCGAAGCAGCAGCAGCAGGCGCTGGGGCGTCGTTGTGAGGGTTGGGCAGGGGGGGGGGGTGAGGCGTTGCTGGTTCTGTAGTCAACAGCTGTGGGCAAGCATCGTATTGGGTGGGCTGGGTGGCTTATGTAGCGCATGCAATAAAAAATTGACCCGAAAATGTGTAACAAATGCTGTGACATATTTTCACCAAAACCCCCTCGCCCCCGCCCACAATACCTCCCCCCTCCACTAACACATTTAACAAACACAAGCCAATACCCCGTTGCCAATGATCCTGAAAAGGAAACAGCGAGTCACAAAGGGTGTTTCAAATGGGACGTAGTTTGTGCGCGAGACGGCTCTTTGATAAGGGGGCGGAGTGTAAGAGAGGGGGGGGGAGGTTGCGTGTTTGTGTATAGTGAAAATCGGTTGCGGGCAACATTTGTTTTGGGCAACAGCACAGCAAATGTGCAAAATTGAATATGTGAAAAAAAAAAGAAACACAAAAAAAAAAAATAAACAAAACAAAATAAAGTAAGGCAAATGGCAAAAATCTGTAACTGTAACTGCAACATGGCATGAACTTAATCTGCTGCCGATAGTTGCTGTTGCTGTTGTTGTTGTTGTTGTTGCCAAGGGTTTGTTGCTCAATTTGTAGCCCGTGCATGGCATAACAGCTACTTTTGGGGCGCAACAGCAGCAGCAGCAGCAGGCGCTAGAGAGTTGGAGAGCGAACCAATCCGAGCCAAATACCGCCGCATTTTCAATATTGCGGCAACAATTTTCATCGTTGTTTGTATTTGCCTCGCGTTGTAATAATGAAAGTAACGATTGGGGCGTGTAACATACCCCCCCCCCCCTCCCCCCTCCCCCTCACTGCCTCGCCATCCTTCGCCTGCCACACCCTTTTTTGCATTGGTTTTTGGGTTGCGGCATTATGGCAATGCGGATTGCGGATTGCGGCTTACGCTCCACGGGAGGGGGTGGCGGTGGCGGTGGCAGGTCAGCTCTCAAGCTCTCAACTCGGGGGTGTTCATTTAATTGAAAAAACAAGGCGACGGCACTTTAAGTGAAACCGAAAACAGATGGAAACGAAAAACTTACAATAATTGCTCTGAAGGCGCTTTAATCGACTCGGGGGATGCCCAGTTCAAAGTTCCAGGCTCCAAGTTCGAAGTTTCGCGCGTGGCAAAAAGGGCTCAATAAACAGCTGCCCAAGTTCAACCCAACAGAGCGAAGTGTGCAGCAAATGAATTCTTTATAGAGCTGAATATCAACATTATTGAGCAATTTCCTTAATTAACAGAACATTAAAACAAAGCGAGAACTGTTTGTAGGGCAACATTTTAAAAAGATTGCCAAGTCAAGAGAATGTATGTGTAACATATATATGGTTGAGCCAATTAAAGGAAGCTAATAAATACTAATCAAATTATAAATTCATTTGGAAAATAATATAAAATAGAAGAAGCGAGAAAGTTAGCACAAAAGTTATACACACGGCTCAACGATGCTTAAGTTTGATATATTTATAAGTTTTTCTATAATATATCTTGTTTTGCTTTGGAAACATTCACCTTGATCTGGCCAGGTGAATATATTGTTTGCACTTAAACGGGTCACTAAAGAAATGCTTTCATAAAATACCTCAAGGTATATCTTATTATCATTTTTATATTCCGCAAAAGCACTCAACCAACTTATTCAAAGTTTTCGCTTAAGCAAAATTAATTTGAATAAATATTTTAGTTATCTGTTATTTAATGTAAATTTAATTAATTTTATATAAAACAAAAGTACTTACCCAATATCAATACAACCTGTAAGTAAATAATTATTAAATTAACT